AAGCAGCTAACAAGGGCGCTGAGAACTGAATTAAATTTTAAAACACTGCTCAAGTCCCAGACTAATTCCTGAGTGGCTTGTGTTCATTCAGACCCAAGGACTTTAAAATGCAGCTAAGATTAGCATCACTGCCCTCCAAAAGATAAGGAATTTGCTACTTGAACCTAACTGCCCAGTTGCCTACTAAAAAGATAGATACATAAGTAGACAGACAAATTAACATTCCCCAAGGGACAACAGGACCCAAAACAGGATGTCACTGGATGTCAATCTTGAAGAAAATCCAGAAATTGGACTCATCAAAGACTTTAACTCTTATAACTAGACTTGATGAGGTAGAAGTAAAGACAAAGTAATGGAAAGAGAGAAATTCTCAACAGGGAAACAAAAATCACAAAAAAATAACAAAACAGAAACATGATTGACAAATTCCAAGAAATGCATCATTATGGGATGGCACCCTGTGGACCTCAGAGTGTAATACACAGACTCAGGTGGTCTAGCCTACTGCACCCAGGCTATCCGGTACAGTCTGTGGGGCCACAGTCATATTTGTGGTCCACTGTTAACAAAAACATCATTAAGCAATACATGACTGTGCAGGGAGAAAAGAAGTTCAAGGACTCTAGATTTCCCATCAGATACCACAGAGGCCACAAGAGAGGAGAGCAAAATCCTTACAGTGCTGAATGAAAAGGACTGCCAACTCAGAATTCTATACCTGAAAAAATATCCTTCAGTAAAGAAGGCAAAATAAAAATTTTCTCAGACCAAGGAAAACTAAAAAAGTACATCACCAACAATGGTACTCAAAAAGAAATGCAAAAGGAAGTGGCTTAGACTAAAGGGAAATGATCCTAGGGGGAAATCCATGTTTTGAGCGATAACAAAAAGCAAAGGAAAGAACAGTTATCTAAGAAAACATAAAAGACTATTTTTCTCCTCTTAGGTTGGTTAAAATATGTATGGTTATTGAGAGCCAAACTGATAACTTTAACTAATGGAGTAAGCTAGCCACACATGTACATGTGATACACAGCACAACTACAGGAAAGGCCAGGAGAGATGATAAATGCATTTATATGGTTCTAAAACTTATTAATGCAGGTTTATCATATGTAGCTTTTTAATATTTAGGTAAGTTCAACTTATTCCCATTTTTTGGAGAGTTTTTATCATATATGGAATTAGGATCTTGTCAAATGCTTTTTCAGCATCTATTGAGATAATCATGCAGTTTTCTTCCTTTTTGTTGATTCCTTTTGTTGATTATAATTATCATTAAATTATTCATTTTTAAAGTACTAAGAAGCAAAAAGTGCTAGAAGACTATGTAATGATAAATAAAGCAATCTAAGGACTCAGAAAAGTCTCCTTTATAAGTCAGTAGAAGCTAAAATTTGAAGATATTTAGTAATTAGTCAAGTGAAGAGGAGAGAGGGTTTAGAGAAAACTAACAACTCATCGAACTGATTTGAGGCCAAAAGGAATGTGCCAGTTTCAAGGACCTTTAAAAGACCAATGTAGGAAAAAGAAGTGAATCTAACCCACTGAAGCAGCCAACTCAGGCAGACAGGTAGTCTTGAAAGCCAGGCCATCACGATTTACTTATCAATTTAGGATCTTAGAAACACTCAATTTAAGTAATTTTAAATTTCTAATGTTTTTTTAAATAATTTTAAATTTTTATGGTGTGTTTAAAGAATGTAAAAAGATCCCCTGTCTTTGTTACATGTTGCAATCTTAGTTTAAAGTAAAGTTTTGAAAACAGAAAACATCCCATTTAACTCCAGTTACTCTTAAGTTTCCTATTAATAAAAAGGATTCCAAAGTTGTGTGCATACACACTTTTTTTGCTTGTTTTAATATTTTACAAAAAAATGTTTACACATTTAACTTAACCTCTATTTTTACAATAGCAACCTCAATGCTGACATTGCCTCTTCATTTTCCTGTCACCAGAAGCAGAATAATTCCAATATAAATGTGTGGAATTCAGTATCCGCATTTAACTAACCTAAGAGGCTAAAATAAATCATCTACATACATTAAACATAAAATAAGATTTCATAGTTTAAGGAAAATATTCAATAAATGCATTTTAATAATAAATTTACGTTTAGTAATTATTCACAATGAGATCATTTCCACAGAGATAATCCGAAAGAATTAACTTCTGAGACTGTTATTTAACTGGTTTTTAGCAAAATATTTAATAGTCTCATATTATGCGAGTGACTCAACTATAACAAATTAGCATACATCATATCCTTGATAATATTTCAAACTGGCAATGTCCCTTCTGATTCTTCGCCCTGAGACTCTCAGTGTAGCTGTAGCTGAAGATCAGTATTCACTGTGTTTTACCTAGGTGAGGAATGGCTTGTAATTCTGTTTTTTTTTTTTCCAGAAGACTCAAATCAATGCTCCAAGAACTGAAGTGCCACTCTAACACCACAGTTGCTTCTGCATTTCTCTCCCCAACCATCAATCTTCCAGTCTAAAGAAGCATTTGAAGAATACTCTTATTCCCTAGTGACATCCCTATGACAGAAAAAAAGCTAAGTTACCATGGAACCAGCCAATTAATTTTGACACCTGCTTACCAAGATTGATCATTTTTGATTCCTGTTCCTGGGTTGCTCTGCTTTAGTTCAGTAAAAGATTTTCAAAATAATTAATGAAATAAGAAATACCAGCTAAATCTTTCCCACTATGTTATTACTTCAAATGCCAAATAAAACCCACCACCATCCACAAAATAAACCTTTCTCAGCTTAACCTGCACTTTATCAGGAAGAATTTTTTTTCTTCTAAATTGACTCTTCCCTTTAACATTAAATATCATGTTTTTATCACCCCTAAGAATACATGTATCGAAGCACAGGGTCTTATTAGTTATATTTCCTCTAATTAATAGCTTGTATTCCACAGAGAAATGGAAAAGTATTCACTAATGGAGTGCAAAGAATAATAGAAAATAACAACTTCCAAGGAAATGATGAATTTTTAATGATTAGTTCAGGGTTTATTGTTATTTAACAATATCTGTATTTAAAAAGCTATTCTTCTTTTACTCACTAATGTGTGGCGTTTATGAAGACCATCTTTCCATACTACTTAAAGTAATTTTAACATGATCTGTCATCCTGCTTACTAACTGGGACAACACCTGCCAGGGAGCTCACTGGCTGCTGATAGAGCTGTGCGCTAGGTCCACTACTACAAAATGTAAATAGGAACTTTTCAGCACTGCCACAATTGTCCCCTTCAGAGGAAGACAGCAAATTTGTCCACAAAAAGGTATAATTATATATGAATCAGGCAATTTTCCTGTTTATGTATAAAAAAGATGTATAAAGGAGACGTGGCTTCTTCCATCGCTGGCTGCCAGACTATTATCTACAAAATTCTCTCTTGCTAGGTAAAGAGGCCGGCTGTTATGTCATAACAAAAGTTTAAGAACACGTAGGTACAACAGGCTGCTAACAAGCCCAATTCAATAAGCCATCTTTCCTCATCTTGAAACTCTTTAGCACTTTAAATTAGAAGCGCTCCCAAATTTTAAGGGAAAAGGTATTTGAAAAATGCAGGGCTATCCTAATTTGTAAAAGTATGAAGCCAGGAGACATTTCAACCTATTGCTATAAATGAATTTCATAATACTTCATTTTGCAATCTCACTTGCAAAAACCTACCATAAATTAATTTAAATAGTAAGATCTACCTAAAATTAAAGTGTGCCATTTTTAAAAAACGCATTTTACAATGAGTTGTACCGGGCAGGGTTTTTAAACCAGTAACAGTGAATAAAAAAGAGGTAGGGGTAATAAGCTAGGTTCAAACCTCTGGAGAAATTTCCCTGTAACACAAAAGGTGAACCAGATTCCTACCTCTGCCTAAGAGTCCAAGAGACATTTCACTTAGATTTATCTGTCATCGTGATTGCAAACATTAGTTATCCCTCGACAGGGCCCCAAACCAGAAAACTGCACATCACGCACCTAGAAGACTAACAAGTTCACTGACTTAATGACTGTCACCTGCAGGTTGTCAGCCGACTCCCAAGGCCTCCACTCTCTTACTCTCACACCCACCCAATTTTTTTCACATCAGGCTGGAAGGCAATAAACACCAACCAATAGGGAGAAAGTATCTTCAAGGTTGTAAAGCAAACTCCACAGCCCCCTGAGCTGCAGAAAAACCCAAGTGGCTCTCCCGCAGGACAGCTGACGATGAAGGAGCCAGTCAGAAAAATGCACCTCTCTTCACCCCCTTAGGAAGTCCAGGTAGCTCATCTCTAGATCGAACCCAAAGTCAATTCAAGACTGTCCAAGCAAACCCAGCCTCGGATACTGGCTAAAAGTAAACAAACAGCCCCGAGTTCCACGGGCTGATTTGGAATCGACTCCATCCGCACCAGCGTGTCATCTTGGGCAAATCACTTCATCTCAATGCCTCGTTTTCTCACGGCAGATCCTGCACAATAATTCTAGGAACTCATGGGGTTGTAGTAACAAATGAGATAATCCACGTAAGGAGCTTAGCCCAGCGTCTGGCACGGAGTAAGCCGATGACACACGACCACTATTATTACTAAATAAGCTCCGGGGTTAGCAGGGGTGACCTCCAGAGAGCACAGGGAAGAGAGGGGGGGTACGGCTACACCCCAACTTTTAACCTTGACACTTCTGCATTGCTCAAATTGCTCCCAATGAGCGAGGATTTCGCGAGTTCCTCGCCTCCTCTGCGATCACCCCCCCCAGCGTCCTGGCAAGACTGCGCTTGGCACCGGGACTGCGAGCAAGAGAGGTGCCGGGCAGGCGACCCCAAGTGGCCGCGGACCCGGGGCTGGGGCGCGTCGGGGCGCTGGAGGGGGTGCAAGGGCCGGGGGCGGGGGGCGCGCCGGGGCGCACCCCGCCGGGGACCCGAGGCCGCGCGGGGAGGCCGCGCCGGGTGCGGGGCCGGGCTGGGGCTCGGGGTGCGGCGGAGGCACTTACTTGAACCTGCCCTGGCAGTGCTGGCACTGGTCCCCCACCCAGCCCGGGTCGCAGAGGCAGGTGGAGTTGACACAGCGGCCCGAGAAGCAGGAGCCGGTCCTCTCGCAGGGCTTCGACTGGGACACCTGCGCGTAGAGCGCCAGGTAGAGGAAGCCATAGCACAGCAGCCCGCGGCGCCCGTCCAGCAGCCAGGAGGAGGCGCCCCCGCCGGCGCCCGCCGCCCGCGCGCGCCCCGGCCCGGGGGCCGCCGGCCGCGGGGGCCAGGGCGGGCCCGGCCCCCAGCTCCATCGTGCCCAGCGCCCCGGCGCGGCGGGGCCGGGCGAGCGGGCGCCGAGCGGGGTGCTCCGGCGCGGGGTCCAGCCCGAGCGCGGCGCGCGGCCGCCGGCGCCTCCCGCCTCCTCGCCGCGCTCACCGGCGCCGGCCCCCGTCCCGCGGCCCGGCCGGGAGGGGCCGCTCCCCGCCGCGCGCGCCTCCGCTCGGCTCCCGCCGGGCGCCCTCGGGCATCGCCTCTCCGCCGGGCGAGCGGGACCGCGGGCCGAGCCTCCCCGCGCGCCCCGGGCCGGGCCGGGCCGGGCCGGGGGAGGCGGGGAGAGGCGGCGGGCGGCGCGGGGCGCTCCGGAGGGGACCTGGGGAGGGGTGGGGGCCCCGCGCGCGGCCCCGCCTGGCCCGCGGCTCGCGCCAACTGCCTGGGCTCCGGCGCCGCGCGCCCGGGAGGGCGGGGACCGAGCGGGAGCCCCGAGGTGGGCGCGCCCAACGCGGGGCGGGGGCGGGGGGATGGCCACGGGCGGGGTGCGGCCGCGCTCCCCCCGGCCGGCGGCCGGCGCCCCCCCGGCGGTCAGCGGCTGGCCGGGGCCGCTAGCCGGGCGCCAGGGCTGCGACCCGAGCCGGCGGGGCCGGGGGCCGCCTCCCCACCTCCCCGCGGGCCGGGGCTCCCCCCACCGCCCGGCGCCGTGGTCTCGCCGCGCCCTGACAGGGACCGGGGACTCCCCCGCGCGCCCACCCCGCGCCCGCGGGCCGAGGCAGGCTGCCCCCAGGTGTGGCCCGGCGCCCGCGGTGCCCTTCCCCGCGCGCCGGGGCGCCCGACCCCGGCCCCGCGCGCCTGCCCGCGCCGCGCACGGAGGGTCGCGAGCGGCTTCGCGGCTGCCGCAGACGAGAAGCCCCTCGCGCCGCCGTCTCCAGCTGCAAAAGTGCAGCGCCGGTGCCCCGCGCCCCCTCCGCCCGGCCTCCTGCCTATCTCTCCTTTTTTCTTAAAAGAGAAAAACTCCAGCAGCACAAAGAGCTGAGCATGTGCAGCAGGCAAAAGTCTTAAAGGCACCGCCATCCGACCACGTTGCGGGGTCCGCAAGAACTGGGGGGGGCGGGGGCGGGCGGCGAGGGTCACGGGGCCGCAGCCTTGGGGGGACCTCTCCTGGGGGAGCCACTTCTGCCACTTAGGACCCCCGCCCGCAGCCAGGAGCTCCGAGGCTCTGCGCCCCCGGCGCGCCACCCCTGCCCGAAGCTGCCTCGGACCCCAGGTTTCTCCTTTCCTGCCAGTCAGTGTCTCCTCCTCCATCTGGGACGATTTTCTGCCTTGAAAAATATTGCAACATCGGGGCTTTTTTCAGAGAAGCACAAATGCCCAGAAAAGAGCCGGTTTCTTTCCTCAGCAGCGAAGTTTCCTCATTTAGATACTTTCCAAGATTTGATGGCATTTGCTGAAACATCGTGCTTTGTACTTTTGTGCCTTTCTAAATCGGCTGTGTGCACCCCTGAGTTAGGGAACCCAAGCTCAGTTGCAGCAGGGCATGTTCCAGTGACAGCAGCGCGCCTGGAGCCCCACCGGGGAGCAGAGCATGGAAAAGAATGTGCAGTCTACCAAAGGCATTTCTGGGAACAAAAGAAGAAAAAGTTTCTCTTGTAACCACACAATGTTAAGATGCAATGCATGTTTATTTGGGACATAATGTTCCCACATCATCTCTTTTAATCTCCTTTTATCCCCACTTTGCGGATGAAATCCTCCATTAACCCCATTTCACAGAGGAGAAGAGAGAGACTCGGGGAGGTTGAAGATGTGTCAGTGGCAGGTTAGAAGCTAATGAACCGAGCTTTGGACACAAATCCTGTGACACAAATCCGTGCGCTTTCCACTATTTACCAGGCTGTTTCTATTAGCAGATGCTTTGTTCTACTTTGGTGAATAAAATATAAGTGCTGGCTTGGTTTGCAAATACCTCAGTAGTGACTTAAGGGGAGAAACAGAGGTCCAAAAAGAGGTGGCTCCTCGAAAGTAAAAATGAAAATGGAACATCATGGTTTTCATTATATAACAAACAAATCACAGTTCTTCCATGATATCAGTACCAGAAATGACATCCTCAACCGTAAAATTCTTCTTCCTTTTCCTTTTCCCTATAAGGCCCGGTGCTCTTTAGAGACTGCTGGGGAAGAGGGGTGAAGGAGAGGAAAACATTCTGCAGAAACAAAAGACTATTGTTCCAGGTTATACCTTTTCAATTCCCTGACTATACCATCCTGAAGAACTTTCTAGTATTAACCACACAAGCAAGGTCTCTGCTGCCTTCTCCAGGCTTCTCAGGCCAGCCGGTATAAAGTCAGCACATCTTTCCCACATCTAACATACAGTTGCTTTCAGACACCTGGAAAGTGACCACGCTCTTGAAAACATCAGTGAGGGTGCAAGTATTTCAAAGGGTACAATGGAACCCCTTTTAACAAGAGTGATCACTGCTGAGCTATGAAGTGGCTGTAACCTACATTCCAGCAAGGATTTTCCATTTAAAAATATATCTTTTAATCTTGTAACCACTATCATCAGTTCAGCATTTCATGTTATACTGAAGGACATGCAGCCCCACAGGCCTCCCATCAACATTGCCTTTAGAATCAAGCTGAATATGTTAAACCGATATAAAATTGGTCTCATAAGGATCTCACAGGATTTCCACTTGGCCTATATCCTATTTTTTCTTTCAAATTCTTTTAGTCAACATTTACTGAATAGCTATTATGAATTTAGGCAAGAGAAAACAAAGATGAATAAAACATGATTTCTATCCCCTAGATAAACTTACCTTCCATTAGATGCACTAGATTGGAGGCTCCTTATACAGATGAGTATATATTAAATTTTACAATTGTGGACATGGAAAACTTTAATGATTTAGAGTAGTCACACATAAAAAGTCAGTGATAAAGCTTGCCTAGAATCTTGACTAGTGTTTTAGTATCTTCTATAATCAAGAAATTTTAAAACTCCAACATGATACTGTCTTTTTTTCCCAAAGGAGTCAGCAACCCAGCAATACTACACAACATCATAATAATTCATAGTACTCCTAATAGCAGTCATAAATCTAGCAGAAAATGGAAAATTTACTCCAAAGAGGTAGTTGAGGAAAAGTCATTTTTATTGAAGCAGAATGAAACTGTTAAGATCAAAATTATCTATTTAAAATGTCTTTCTGGGGAAAGATAAGGACAGTATCTTTGTTTTCTCCACAATTACCTTTATCAAGACCCTTACATCTTCAGAGCGTTGTATTTCATTTCCATTCACACACAATGGGATGCTATTATACAATGGGCAAAAAACTAAGATTTCATATCACCAAATTGTTTGAAAGAAAGTCAAATGATTTCTTACAAGAACAAGAGAAATAATAAATACACTGATCTTTTGATTGCTACTTAAAAAGTAAAATATCCTATTTGGACTAAATGAACCAAAGCGTCCCTTCTCAGTTGCTTGGCTGAAGAATGAGCTCTACTTTAGTTACTGTTCACCATCTGACTCATTTAAGACTCCTGAAAGATAATGAGAGCTGCAGATAGCCTGGCCCAAGAGCCAGAAATGCATTCATTCAAAGGTACAACTGGGGCAGTATTTTTAACACTGAGTGCGCATGAATGGTCTGTAAGGTTAGGTAGTAAAGAAAAATCAATTTTAGGTACTCACTTTAAAAATTATTGATGGTATTAAAAATGTTTACCTGGCAATGGTCCGAACAGCACCTCCCGCCACCACCATCACAACTAACACTCTGCTTTCTCTTGGATTCATTCTTTTCTTCGTTCGGTTTCTCTTGCTGTCACACTTGCAAACACACACATACACTGTGATCCTGCCAATTTTTCTACTTAACACATTTCAAACATATTGTTATAAGTAAATCCAAGGAAGTAAATCCAAAGATTCTAAATTCACTATGCTGAGCTAAGACATTTTTTTAAGCTGAAAATGAAATGAGCATCCTTAAATTTGTCATTCTAAATATTCAGACTTGTTACCCAAAAAAACCTGATTGCTAGTAGCCAACTACAGAAATTTGTCTTTTGTGAAATTAATTCCATTGAAGATATGGACTGGAACTACTGCCTGTTAAATATTGTGGATTAAGTATGTGCATGTACCTCTGCTCCAAACTCTAACAACATGGGAAGGTTTTTTTCTGTTAATTTTAAAGACATACACTCACAATGACAAAATGAAAAAAAAAACAGCTGATGAGCGAGCAGTATCTTGGCATTTGGAAGTGTCAATGCATCCAAAGGAGGAAAGTGAATGGAGAAGTGGTAACTAAAACATAGGTGTCTGCAGAGATGAATAACCAAAAAAAAAACAATAAAGAGTCTAGGAAAGCCTCAACTCAGAGAGGCAAGAGGTACCAATGAAGGTAGGGTGGGGCCCTAGGATGAAAACAAGGAGAAAGTCTAAGGGTAATAAAAGGACCTATTGTCCCCTACCTCACCCCAAGCAGCTAAAGACTATATCCCAGATGAGAAACTGAACCAGAGAGACCCTAGACTTCGGGCACCTGGCATAATGGAAGCAAGATGTGAGGTACCAAGTTGAAAATAAAGACATTAAGTTAAAATCTATATATTAAATAGTCATATTTCCCTCCCTTCATTTCCTACATGTTTCCAGAACATCTAGGGAATAACCTTCAGGCAAGAAACTGAATGCCTCTCTGCAGAAATTGAAAAGTCTAAGAGAAAAGATACTATCATTTGGAATCTTTCAACCAGTGGCAAGCTAGCCTCTAGAACAGCCTGCAGTGAAGCCTGCTAGTCAATAAATTTTACCCAGTTGTTTTAAAATGGCTTCCTCTTAAACACAGATAATGAAGGTTCATTAAACATAAAATATAAAAACCGAAACAAAGAAAAAAAATTAGAGAAAATGCGGTAAAGTGTAAGCGAAGATTTTGCAACCATGAAACAGAAATTGGATATATTTTTAAAAAACACAGAGAACAAAAAAAAATATTAAAATAAAATAAATAAAATATAGGTAAAACTCTTAGAAATTAGACTTGAAAGACAAAGGTTCTCCTCTTACCAAAGAGGGAAAAACTAAGAAAATTAGAAAATTTCACAAATTGAGGAGGAAAGGGCAAATACAATCAATGAGAAATAAAAACAGCATTAAAATTCTTAACAACAAGCCAAGATGTTAAAAGCAAGTAGAGCTATAAAGGAAATTGTTTTCAACCTAGAAT